ACAAAAGAAAAGCTAAGACTTACTCAAATGTAACTTGTTCTGGTAATAAACCAAAACATCACATTCAGCAAACTTTCTGACACCCTAATAGAGACAGGTACAAGGAGACTACTGAGATATGAAATATTTGGTTCTAACTTCAGAGGAGAAGCAAAGGGTAGGAGATGAAGAGAGGGGAGGTAGAGGTAGAAAGAAAAAAAGGCTAACATGTAAATACCTAACTATAGTGCGATACACAGTTAAGCCTATGTTCAGATAATGGAAATCAGGGTGCTCTGGGTGGAAATCAGCTTTGTCAGATCCTCCCAGCCAGCCTCAAGCTGCACCTTTACTTTAGGTGTTAGATCTGGTCTTTCAGGTCCACAGATGGCCTTGTGCCACCAGGGAGGACTGTGGGGAAGAAACAGTCTGTCCTGGCATGGAATCTTCTGACTCCTGGCTGGAGTAACATTCCTCTTTGTTGTAGCACGAGCCTTGCAGAGCTGGGGAAGGTGAAGTCCCCCAGCAGAAGCTCCTGAATGACTCTTACGAGCTTTAGTACATATAGGACATGTGTTATTTGTCTGTGGTGGGAGTGAAGACCTTAAGTGTTTATGCAGTGCTCTTTAAAAACCTTACCTAGCTTTGCATATTCAATCTTCTCATACACATTTTACACAGAGACCATTCTGCCAGAAGAGCTAAACCCTTCCTCATGGAGCTCAGACTATCATGAGAATGACACTAGTCACATGTAAACACAGATTAATATAGAATGTCAAAGTGTGATCACCACAAAGGCAAAGCACAGGCGCTTACCCTAAGCTGTGGCTTCTCCCACTCCACACCCCGTGTGCACAGCAGAGTCACGCAGTACGACCCACCACTCTTCACACTGCTCCTCCACCCTGAAATCTGGGGATCAGCCACCATTTGTCCTCATTTCTCAACATTAACTGCTCACAAAACTAACTGGGCATGGACTTCAGAGGCAAACGTATGGGTTATAACCCAGGTGTCGCTACAGCATCAGTGATCTTGAACAAGTAGCATCACCCTGTGACCCTCAGCTTTTTCATTTGTGAAATGGAGAAAGGAGGTCAGCCTCCGAAGGTTCTGAGGATTGGCACACTGGATGTGAGGAGCCACTGCTGCTCTTAATTCAGCTTCCAAAATGTCTTTGTGGTTTCATAAACTCTCCATTCCCATATGTCATGCTGGCATGGAGGCTGCCAAAGGCTGCCCTACACTGCTCCGTGAAGCTGCCCTGGGGATGAAAGCCACTTGCACGCTTGGCTTTCTCAGTCACAGGAAGCTGCAGGAGCAGAAACTGCTTGACAAAATATATTGAAGCAATCTCACATGAGCAGCTCTAGCATTTGCCGACTTTCCTACTCTTGTTTCCCACTGAATTTTACCTCTAGTCATAGGATTCTATTTCAGCCTTTAATGATGTCCCCCACTCCCTACATAAAGGGCTAATGCAATTTTTATGATTCTAATAGGAGAAGGTGCCCCAAAGGGAGACTGGGCTTCAGCCACTGCTCAGGTTCCCCTAAGGTGGCAACAATAAAGAATACTTCAGGGTGGCATTCAGGCATCACCCAATGGACCCCATGGGGTTTGAGGGAGGCTTTGAACCTTGGTCATAGAACCTGTCTCCATATTTCTTTTGGATCACATATCATAATTGCAGTTAATTTATAGCCAATGAATATTTGTTTAATGTCTGTCTTCTCCTCTAATTAGCTAGCTCTTTGAAAGCACAGGCTATGTCTGTCTCTCTCGGCACAGCACAGAGAAGATGTTCCACATTGATAGCTGTTGAGCCTGCAAAGCCTGGACAGTATCTGGCCCTTATTCCCCTGAGCTCTGTCATCAGAGCACCCTTGCATTGCATTTTCCTGGCTTGTTTACTCCTCCTTCCTCTCTGTTGCTTATGTAAATTCCCGGGGGGGGGGGGGGGAGAGTCCATGCCATCAGTTATTTCTCTCCCCTCACAGGCTAGCCCAATGCCTGATTAACGGATGATGCTCACCTGTTACCAAGAGAACAACTAGACAGGGTGCTACTGAATGCATCATGGAAGAGAACTTTAGTTTTATACCTACTAGTTTATACCTCCACAGCTCCCCAACCCCAACACACACACACACACACACACCACTCTCATAGTGCCCCCTTAATTTTTCAGAAAACCCTTTCTGTTTCCACCTTGGGGACCTAAGAATTAGACCACAGAGATTTTGGCCTTCTTCCTCTGGGTGGGTAATTATGAGGCTACGGTTAAAAACGGACTTTTCATTTTGGTCACGAACTGCATCGCAATTACTTCTCAGAATGAGAGAGGGACGTGGTGTTCTGGGAGCTCAGGAGCTGTTTTGATGTGCAGGGTTCTGTGTGATAGAAGAGAATTGTCGCTGATTATGTGTTCTGTTTTGCTTTCTGTGTTTTGTACAGGATAGCTATTTGGGGAAAAGTCAGTCTTTCATGCATAGACTGGAGATGATTTCAATAAGAACACTGGTAATCCCCATGCTTTCTCCTATCACTCCAGAAGTTAGTGCCCATGGGGAAGACTTGGGGATAATGGGATCATAGGGGCCCAGCCCACATTTGGCTTCAGGGCTCAGGCACCTCCTTCTTTGCAGTGCCCCCTTCTCTGTTGCGTCCTTTTCCTCTCCCATCCAAAGTGACTTTTTAAAGTATAAAGTTTTATGCCTACTAGTTTATACCTCCACAGCCCCCCCCACTTTCACAAAACCCTCTCATTCAAAGATTTCATGCCCCCTCCCTGCCCATCCTCAGTGTAACCTGCTCCCTAGAAAATACTTCACATGGTGCTAGCCTCTCTAAACATTCTACCTCTGATCTTTCTTACTCCTGTCTAGCTGGTTATAGGATTGATCACTCTAAAATTACATCCCCCAGGCATTTAGATCATATACCATCCCCACAATCAAAGGCCCTCTCAGTGGGTAATTAACTGTAATAATTTGGTAATTCTTTATGCCTGACATGTCACCTCTATATATAGCTATATGTTATTGGGTAATTTCCACAAATCATGTGGTCTATTTTTACAAATGCCAGAGTTTCAGCCCTCCCTCATGGCACAATGGGTTAAAGTGCAGCACTGCAAGCTAGCCCCAGCCACTGCAGCACGAGTTCAATCCCCCCACCAGGGAGGTGATCCACGTGGGGTGGCAGATCTCTCCTGACCCACCCGCTGCTCCCCTCAGCACGGTACCTCATCAATTCTGTTCTGGTCCTGGTGTCTGTCTCTGGTGAATCCTATTATCGCCCCAGCACCTCTGGCCTGCACCCCAGTTCTGTATGCATAAATACATAAATCTTTAAAAAAAATGCCCACGTTTTTATCGGCAACCCCAAATGATTATACTAGTGGTAGACTGTTAAGTAATGAAAATTTTCTTTTGACTTCATTCCTTTATTATTAAAAGGGCTTGTGGGGAATATTTGGATATTCTCATTTCTTATGTATAAGCTATTGCACAACTCTTGAACACCTATTTTTTGTCTTTATATGTGGGACAGATTTCGTAATTCTATCTTTAAGAGATACATGTTGAAACGATAGCCCGCACTTATCAGCTTGGGCCACTAGGTGGTGCACACATATGTCAGTGAACTGTAGGTTAAATGGGCTTGTCACCAGGTTAGATTTAATTTATCACCACACAAGTGGTACAGACAGTAGGAGCTGTAGGAGTTGAGAGAGCGTGATCCCGTGGGTGGGACTAAATGAAGGAAATGCTCTCAGGGGAAGTGGAGAGATACTGTTAACTGCATTCAGAGATGGTAAATGCAAAATCATAAAGGTAAGAAATCCTGGAGGGAATAGGCATGCTTACTTTCCTTGATGATTAATCCCTGCCTAATAGAGCCATTGCAGAGGGAAATATTGAGTCATTTGAATTAGCCATAAAATGTTACTTCCAGGCCTTTGTGCCAGGCACCAGGGATGTAGAGTTAAAATGATATAGTCTTGTCCTCACGTAAAGATCACACAAGGAAAGCAGAATAGGAAACACAGTTGAGACCCAGCATAATATAAAAGATAGGTTTTACAGGATGAATTGGAAGAACAAGGTGTGAAATATTCATTCTGCTCTGAGGGAGACAGGGAAGATTAGGTTGGGGAGTTGGCAAGCAGAGACTCCATGGATATCTTGAGCATTGGGGAGGGATCTCCACAAATCATGAGAAATTAGACAGAGAAGACAGCATGAACTAAAGTACTTGGAAAAGATTGTGTAGATTCTAAAAGTGGTGCATTTGCTTACAGTGGGCCTTGGCAAAAGTAACTTGAGCAAGTTGTAATACTGTCCTGGTTCTATTTGGTGAGGTGGTCTGGCCCCAGCGTTCTTTCTAGGCCACACGTGTGGGTGTATGTTTCATTTCAGTGACAGAATGTGTGTTCACAATGTAGGTCAATGTCATCTTAGAGCAGCATTGTTTGCTTGAGAATGTCAACTGGAAAGAGTTATAAGTTGGCAAGAAAATAGAGACGTGTGATTGAGAAGGCCCTAAAAGAATACAGGCTTGCATTAAGACCCATGAGAAGACATGGTACAAAGGACAGAGAGAGTTTGGAGTGTTGTACTTTGAGAGAGATCAAAGTTCACTAGGGAAGGTGACAAAAGTGAAGAGATTTAAGACCAGGACTGAAGATTGATAAGCCAGAACCACTGATAGCAACCTGTGGTCTGGAAATGGACTTTCTTTGTGGCCCTAAAAAGATACACTCCTCTCAGGGCCTTAATTTCCCTAAATATAGATTTGGCTGTAAGGCCCCTCAATCCCCCTGAGCTCTGATCATCCTTGCAAGGGCAAACAAAAAGGCTGTGCAATCCCCTAGGCTCTAGAGTGCAAGGCTTTTCTGTAGCTTTCTGTAGAATTGTGAGTGCACATCCCCTTTGCATGTGAACCCCGACCTGCTAATCATTAGTTTGGTTCAGACTCAAATCAGTGTTTTCACAATGTGTTTTCTTTTGTAGCAACAGCGGCAGCTTGACCTCCTGACAATAACCAGCCCAGGTGAGTAAGTGTGGCCATTCTGCTTGGCTTTTTCCCTTATTTCCCAGTGTTGCCTGGTTACTTATCCTTGTTATTCCTAACTCCTTCCTTTGACTCCCAGAATGAACACCAAAACTTCTGTGCCTTGAATGAAATTTCTGCACCATCCTTTGCCCCACAGCAGTTTCTTTGCTCCCTCCCAGCTTTTATGCTGGCATGAAAAGCATCCTCAAGCTCTGCAGGTGGCAGTGCTGATACTCTGGTGTTGCTGCATATTCCAGGGCAGAGTTCTCCCCAAATCACCAAGGGACTCATATATCAAGGAAATGTTCTCATCTCCTGGGAAATAAGTTTTTAAATCTTGGAGAGGGGAGCTGGAATGAAGGGAGGTGGCATGGAACGTAGGGAGGTTGGCTCATGGGAAATGCCAGCCAAGGGAAATAATTAGTTTTTGTCTGCGCTGCTGAGGATCAGGATGGCTACTCTTGTCTCTCGGGGAATATCAAATCCCCCAACAAAGGTGGGACCATGGGATTGAAAAGGTCCTTTCCTTCCCCCTAGTTCTGGCATCTCACCTAGAGAGAGGTTGTTCTGTTTGCTTTTGCCAGAAAGGCATTTTGTATTTGGTTTGGAAGCTTCAGGAAAGCTTACCAACAGGAGATGTTATTCTCTCTTGGGAGCAAGGGCTGGATGGGCCCAGCAGGGTTATCAAGCGTTCAAGACTGGGGATAGTGGTTCATCTTCATCCACTGGTGACATTGAAAATATTTAACATCCTGATGACTCCCTATTGTGCTCGGCATTAATATGGTGGTTACTGGATAGTGGGAAGATGGGATCCTGGGAAAGGAATTGGTGTAATAGTGTGTTCATATGGCAGGGTTGAGGGACTCTCAGTGTGGCTAATTTCCAGTAATTTGGTAATTCAGTGTTTTCATAACCAAATATGGATGTACCATGTCATCCCTGATTTTCACCAAGCCTATCATGCTAAATCCAGGGATTAATTTACTCACAGGGAGATTGAAAAAACCCCTCTGCAGGCACTATCCTAAAACAGGCTGGTTAATTAGTCTGTGTAACTGAGGAATAACACAGTGACTACAAATTAAAGTTGGATACACCCTGTTCAGTGACCTTACTGTATCCCCACCCAATAAAGCTCATTGAACTTGGGGCTTTAGAAGAACAAAGATGAACTGGTTTGAAGAATATTTAATCTTATCCATAGAATGAACAACATTTAACATATGTGTATATGATTATGTGTCTTCATGTATATGATTAACAAATATAGAAATTCCGAGTCATGGGCTAACATGACTGGAGCAGCTCACTTGTGTGACCTGCCAGGCCCTCTCAACTTAAGTGCATGTGAGGTCTTGTCTTCATCTTCCTTGGTTGTTCTCTTTTGCATTTGTGTCCTGTTCTACTCCACATTTACTAACTCAGATGCTTCCACATTCCAGTCTCATCTGATCACACCATGATATGATGCATAAGTATGAATTGGAGAGGATTGTTGACCTGTCTTTTGTTGCTTTACACAGAAACTTATAGACTCTGTTAACTGCATTCTTTTTTGCTAGACCTTCCCATTACTAATTGCTACTGCATCAAATCTAGTAGAGTAACTGTGAGTCACGGTGGGCTCCTTTGGGTCAGCTGTGGAATTGTAAAATGCCACCGCTTCATTGTCTTCCCTACTTTTAGATGAAATATATATATATTCTGGGTCAAAGCTTCTCAAAAGCTGTGTTGTGGCACACTGGCATAACTTGTTTGAAGAGTACCCTTGTGTGATGTTGAGAGACACACACTTACAATATTGTTGATCCACTCAACTCTTAGAAGTACAGGCAGGACCTGGACTACTCCAGTATGCCAAACAAATATCCATGTGTGCCATGACCTAGAAAGGTTAGGAAGCACCATGAGACTGTATTATCTGAACAATTCTTTTCAAGGTCATTGTCCTCTATTACTATCTCTCACCTTCAAAGTCAGTCTCATTCCCTATGCCACCGGGAGCTGCAGCAGCTAGCAATGGGCTTTGACCTCTCTGAATCTGCCAGAGGGAGTTTGTCTGTGCCTCCTCACGAGACCATCTTCAACACAAAGCTGCATTCCGAGGCCACCATTCCATGCAGACTTTAGAAACATTGGTTGGGAAAAAGCCTTTGAAACATTTATCTCCTTTAAAATCTTACTTTGTTTATTGTGAATAATTTGTAATATAGAGAAAGAGTAGCAATACAATGAATAACCTTTTACTGCTCCCTGAAACACTGACTTTATACCAACATCTTTATACCAACATCTGCCACAGAGTTTCCTGTTCAAGAACATTTGTAGGATTAGTTGGGATTTTTCTTTACTCACCCTGATTATATCCTCTCCCTTTGCCTTATATGTAACCACTGTAATAAATTCCTCCTTTCTCCATATCTATCTAAAATGTAATTTGACAATTTCTTGTAATATCACACTGTAAATATCAATCTGAGACTATTCTCTACATATTATATTATGGAAATTCATTCATGCAGTCACATAAAGCTCATTCATTTTAACTGTTATATAATAATCTGCATATGATTAGATCACTAGCCATTTATTGATTTATGCAATTGCAAATACTGCCACTAACTGCATTTTTTGTACATATTTCCTTGTGTATAAGTATGAACATTTCTTTAGGGTGTATAGCTAGAAGAGGGTCAAAAATATAGGCATCTTGAAATGTACTGTATGATGATCAGTTGTTTTATAAAGTAGTTGGACAAGTTTACATTGCCAACAGAAAATAATAAGAGTTTCCTTTTCCCCCAAATGCAATTACAATTCCTAAATACTAGGAATTGCCAGACTCAGTAATTTTTTTCTAGTAATCATGATAAACTTGAAATGGTATCCTTTTTTTTATAATAGTGTTGCTTTCATTGCTGGTGGGGTTGAATAACTTTTCATATGTTTATTCAACACTTTGGTTTCTTCTGTGAATTAATTTTTCACATCCTTTGTCCATTTTCTATCAGCTGGTTGGCTGGTTTCTTATTTATGGCTATTATTCTGAATATCAGTACTTTGTACTTTTATTCATTGCAAATATCTTCTCTCAGATTTCAGCTGTGTATCTTTATGATGTATTCTGATAAAAAAAATTAACACTTGAACGTAGTTGAATTTATCAGTGTATTGCCTTAAAAGCTTTGCTTTTGTGACTTATTGAAGAATCCACCCATACCGGAGATCACATTCTCTTATATTCTGAATATTATTAAGCTTTGTGTCACAATGAGTATTTGTCCCATTTAGGACAGGTCCTTGTAATGAGTTAGAGATTAAATTATTTTGTATTATATCAGTACCATACAATTATTAGTTCATTCCTTCTACTTACTATGATTACACATCTATAATATATCAATTTTATATATACAAAAAGTTTCTGTGCTTTCCAAACTATATTGTTGGTCTATCATTCTTTCTCTAACTTCACATTAACTTATTTATAATAACTCTTAATTTTTATATTGTTTTTGTAATTGGCAAGGAGATAGCACCATCTCTCTTACCCTTTAGTCATCTTTTAAAAGAAGAATTATTTTGAGTACAATCAAGTAGTCCCTGTATTGTGGCAAGTGAGTTTAATTTATTTATATGTATTATAATTACTAATATATCTGGACTTCTACCATCATACTTACATTTTGTCTTTATCATTTAATTTTCCTTTGTCCTGTATTTTTTAGATTGCCTGTTATATATTACATGATTTTTAAACCCATTCTGCAAATTTGGATGCTATAGATTTTATTTCCAATCTTAACTGATTACTCTCTGGATATATTCTTGACCATACATTGTCTTAAAACCCTAGTTATTCATAATTTCTGTAAAACTTCCAGTCATAGTTTTAGTGTGATTTAACCACCTATTGAACACTAACCTGTCACTACTTACTTATTGTTATGTAGACATCTAAATTAAATTTTTGCAAAAGGGGAAGAACATTATTATTAAGGGATAATTGACTTCTTCTATATAGTTTATGAATTTTTGTGTTCTAACGTTTATTATATACCAAGACTTTCCTGTGCTGCCTTAGTAAAGTGAATCTTTTAGCTATTTTAAAATTCATGGTAAACCCTTTTGACCTATGCATGTCCTTAAGTTGTTGCCTCTTTGGAATGATAGTTTGGCTAGGTATAAATTCTAGTTTGTGGAGAACTTACTTGTTCACATTGTGATTTTTTTTTCATTATTTTCTGACATTTATAATTGCTTATCCCATTATTTGTTTTTGGTAACATTTCTTCAATGTGTTTCAAGATTGTTTTTTAATCTTAATGTCCTGTATTTTCACTTTGATGTGTCTAGGTGTGAATTAATTTCTATTCACCCTGCGGTTACTCTGAGTATACTTTCCACATGAGACTATGTGTCTTATTTTTTAAGTCTGAGAAATTATTGGCAACTTATCTCTATAGATATTGCTCTTACTAAGTTCCCTTATTTCTCTTATTCTGTAATTTCTATTAGATAAATATTGGATTCTCTCAAGAGGCACTCCATGTCTCTAAGTGATTTTTTTTTCTTTTTTCCCCCCATACCTTTTCCAGCATTTCAATAACTACATATTTTTAGTTTCCAAAATTTCTAATTTAAGATCCACCTGGTTTTATTTGTGCCTATTCTATTTTATAATTTCTTATTCTGCTCTAATATTAGTCTTCATTTGTCTCTTTGAACATCCTCAACATGCTTATTTATGATCTTTGGCTGTTCTATGAAGTAAGATTCATATGGAGTGAATTCAAGTTATAAATTCTGGCTTTATTTGGTAACATCTTTACTGTGCAATCTCTACATATGCTTTAAAAATTTAATTTGGAAGATCACTTGAGGAGGAAGTTTTCTGTTTTTGCATCCCTGAACTCCCCACCACACAACCAGCTTCCTTTCCTTGCCAAATTCCTATTGCATTTTCATATCCTTTTATGATGGTTTTTGTAGTT